AGGTCCGCGCTGCAGTCCCCTCTTGTTCCCCGCACCCTAACACCGCTGCACCTCGTCCTGTTTGCTTTCAAAGAGCTTCCCAAAGCTGCGTGCATCCAGACCAGAAAATGAGACTACTATGCAGGGCTCCCTGGCAGGCCAGCAGCAACCCGGCAGTCCAAACCTCAGCAAGTACAACACAGATCATTAAAAAAAGTTATTAGGAAACAATGCCAGGGTTTCTACGCTCATTTAAAGGATCTCCACATACAACAACCACCTAAATCAAAGTTTTACAAGCAAAACTTGGCTCTCGGCACCAGCCGGGCAGCCCTGTCTCCCGGGGATGTCCTCAGGGGACTGAGACAAACCCATGGCTATTCCAGCTTTGGACTGCTGTTGATAAGAATTTAGGGGAGCAGGGGGAATTAATCCATTTCTCTCTTCCTCGACTACACCATCTTTGCAGGACTGTTTTCCCTTTTTTTTCACCTGCTTGCGGACTACATCTGGGGAGCAGGCCGCGTTCGCAGTCATCCTTCTGAGCACAGAAAATAATAACAATCGTTCCAACAATAAATCCAGCGCGACTTGGAGAGGGATAAAAGCCGAACGAGTCACCTGGGACTGGTGACAAACAGCACTTAACACACTCGGAGGAAGACATCGGCCACCAGGGTGACGGCTGCAACGGAACAACCTGAGCAGAATAACACAGCGATGCCTGTGAAAGCGAGCTCCTCGCTTGCACAGGGCGAAATGAACGCTGCTCAGCCCATGGCAGAGGAACGAAGGGAAGAAAGGGCCGCTGGGGATTTGCAACTGCAGAACTTTGGTCTCACCAGTTCAACGCTTAACCCGCTGAGGAATGCCCTCCAGAGCTAACTGTTTATATATAACACAAAGAATATAAACAGCGAAGTGCTGGAGGGCACATATATACATGCAGATATATGTATAAAAGACGGGATATTTTCTGTTCCACTCTGCACCATGAAAAGTAACACCACCAGATAAATAAACACATGTCAGCTCGTGGGAAATGCAGGGAGGCAGAAAGCACAAAAGCTTTCCTTGCCGTGTCCAGAAGAATAAATTTCTCTTTCACATGCACCCGCACCCAGCAGTCCAGCTCAAAAATCTGGCCTCCACTCTCCAAGGAGGAAATGCTGCTGCCAAGGCTGCTTGCTCAAAAATCAAAGTAACACTGCCAAACTGAGCCCAAACCCAACCCCACCAAAACGCTCTTCTGCCGGTTTTAAACCGTCTGCTGGGGACAGATAATTATCAAATAATGGTATCAACAGCATCAGATTATCACTTCAGACCCTTTGATATGTTCAAGCGAACGCTGTTTCAAATGTTATCGAGTCTCAAATATTTACTCTGGAGTCCAACCGAGCAAACGACCCATCCCGTGCCATTGAACGTGGCCGGCGCGCTCCTAACAGGAGCAGTGGGATCTGCAGAGCGAAGGAAACAACCCAGCTATTTTCAGCAGAGGAAGCGTGGGGACAGTCTTGGATTCTGCAGAACAAAGAGCGCCCTGATAGCCAGAACTCCCCGGAGAGAGCCAGGGCTGCCTTCACGCTTGTCTGTGTGTGGAGCTCTTTTTAAACTGGTGGAGCTACAGCAAGGCAGGTGGAGCTTTGCAGTCCCCCCGTGGAGTCAGAGAGGTGTCAAATCTCACATCCTCAGTGTGAGACTCGCACAAACGCTCTCGTCTTGTGCCTCCTCGTGCCAGAGCTGTACCTCCCACGACCGATGCTCAGAACCGCTATGTTCCAGGACCCCACGCACCTCCGATCTGCCATCTGCTCCGAGCAAAAAGGCTGAAATTAGAGCAATAACCACTGGCGCAAGCAAGTCTTCTGATGGATTTCCCCTTGGGGAACACCCCCAGAGGATGGATTCTGCTGCCTTAGAGATGGCTCTTCCCCATCTATTTATAGTGCACAGGGCAACTTACTCTGCCTCATCCTTCCTCTGTCTTGGGATAACGGGCAGAGCAAATTCCTCCTCTGCCTATGGCCAGGACAAAGCAAGACCCTGTCATTATCCTGGCCCATCACCGCCCTCTGAATTTTCAAGAAGAGGAGCACACCGCTGGGCTACCTGCTGCCTGACCCTCAGCCACTCCAATTCACCCCACTCAGACACGGTGTGGTTTCCTTTGCCTTTTCAGCACATGCAACGATGTCCTAAGGGGTGCTCGGTAAGGGGAACATGCGCCTCCATCACGCAGAGACGTGACTTGGGACCGATGCCTTTCTCTGTTCCTTAATTAGGCAGCTCTACCGAAGCAGCGAATGCAGCATGCCTGTGCCGAGCACAGAGTGGGAGGATCAGCGATGTGCAGCGATACCATTACAGCAGCGCTGCCTCATGAGCCAGCGCTTCTTCGGTGTCAAAACGCGGTCCGGGGCCCCAGATGTCACGTTTGGTGAAGTCACGTACCTTGTCAGCAGGACTGCTGAGTGCGAGCATGCAAAAAATGAGGGGGACTTTGTCAGCGAGGGGGATGCCCTCGCCCAAATGCACTCGCGTTTGGAGCTGTCGGGGAGGTGAGGCAGCGTGCAAGGTGGAACGGGGGCAGTGTCCAGCAAAGAGCGGGTTTAGGATCTCGAGCGAAACAAGGACAACCTCCCTGCACTGCAAAGATGAAAACCTTTCGGTATTTTCATTGGAGTTGTTTCGTTTAGCCGTTTCGAACAGCTGCCTCCAGCTATTTCATAATAATAGTAACAACTAGTAAAGAACCAAAACAAAACAAAACAAAAAAAAAAGCACACGGGCCTGTTCCCTGACTTCAGAAAGCAGAGTTTGCTGGGATGTACGTTATTATGCAAAACCTTTTTTTTTCTTTTTTCCTCGAGACAATCACGAAGCGTTTCATTAGTACACACTGGAAAAATAAGATAATGGCTTTCTTGATTGCGATGGGAGATTTGCCCTGAGCATTGACTCAGGCCAAAGCACCCCACTGTCATCGGGTTAGCCCCTCACATCGCCGCCCTCCCAAACGGAGCCACAGCCCCCAGCGCCGGGAGGGCTGAGAGGGGAGAAAATAACCAGCAGGGTCCCGTTTTAGAATACACCAAGCACTGAGAAGGACAGGTTTCTGTCGGGAAGGGAGGGAGCAGTCTATTTTGGGCCGCTCAAACAGCAGCCACGGGCCTATCAGGGGGCAGTCGCTCCTCGTAATGTTTTGTGTGTGTGCTGGGAGCACATGCTGGAGGGACGCTGGAGGGAAAGGCAGAAAGCCTGGTACACGAGCGGCTTGTCATGAAGTAACAGGAGGCAAGGCTCTGCCTCCCAGCCACCTCCAGAGCAGCTTCCACTTGGAAAAGGTCAACGTGTCGTCCACAGGGTGTGAAAAACCCTTTTAATTTCTTCCTTGGAAACACTATGAATGACAGTAATGAACCAGCCCTCGCCAGTGGGGCTCACGGGTGTGAGACGGAGCTTCAGGAGCTCTGCTTTCACAAGCACTTGTCCACCTCAGGGATCATAAAGCCTGGTATGCCAGGGGCACCTGCACGCGGTGCTCACCACTGCCTGCCCACCTGCAGCACAGGAGGCACAAAACGAGAGCGCAACGCCTGAGGTGTGAAGCCGTGGGCATGGCTCTGAGCGTGAGCTGCAGTTTAACGCCACCTTACACCGCTGCTCGGGGACACGCCGAGGCAGCTTGAAGCCCCCAGAACCCTTCCAGGCACCAGGGGCGTCACCACCATGGTGGCACCCGGGGTGTCACCTCCTGGCGGGACATCATGAGGGCACTCAGGAGACTTTTCCAGGGGTGTCACTACCCCAGTGAAAAGGACACATGAGGAACTTTAGCGCCTGTGACCCACACCAGGGTTGTCACCGCCAGGTGGGACACCCCGAGGGCTGTCACCACCGTGGCGACGAGGGACTTGAACCACACCTGGCGTGTCCCCTCGCGGCAGGACATCACCAGGACACTCCTGGGGGTGTCACCACCCCAGCACCGAGCACACACGAAGCACACCCCCACACACACCCCTCTCCCACCACCCCCACCCCTCCCCGCCTCAGGGCCGGGGCTGCCCCCATGCCGCCCCCCTCCGCCCGTCAGGGGGCGCCGTGACTCACCGCCAGCAGGGCCGATGCTCGCTGCTCCCCCGCCGCCTGCTCCCCGTTGGCGCCGCCGTTGCTGAGGAGGTGCTGGTGGTAGTCGGGGGGCGCGGCGGCGGCGGCGGCGGAGGACGGGGCGGCCGCTCCTCCTCCTCCTCCTCCTCCTCCACCTCCACCTCCTCCTCCTCCTCCTGCGGCCGCCTTGGGATGCTTGGCGGCCTTGCGGGCCCCCTGCCCTTGCTGCACGAGGTGGAGGAGCTGCAAGGTGCTCTCCCGCTCGCGGTCGGAGCTCTCGGCGCGGCCCCGCTCGTAGCGCCCCTCGCAGCTGAGGTGGTGCTGGCGGCACACGGCGATGCGGGCCCGCAGCCGCTCCACGATGGCGCTGTGGACCCGGGGGGCCGCCGGGCCGCCCCCGCCGCCCCCCAGCAGCCCGGCCCCCAGCCCCGCGGCTTGGGCTTGGGGGGGAGCCGTGTCGCCCATCGCCGCCTCAGCGCCGCATGGAGCGGGGAAGGCAGGGGGGGAGGCCCCGCGACCCCACACCGCCAAGGGGGGCCGAGAGACCCCCCCGCCGCCCCGTCCCCCCCTCGAACCGGGGGTGGGTTTTTTGGGGGGAGAAAAAAAAAAAAAAGAAAAGAAAAAAAAAGGGGGAAAAACAGGGGAGGGGGGGGGGTGCTAGGGACGGGCCACCATCGGCCGAGGGGGTCGGGGGTGAAAGGGGAGGGATGGGGGTCTATGGGGTGGGGGGGGGGGGCAGGCGGGAGAGGGGAAAAAAAAATTAAAAAATTAGCCCGCTGCCTCCAAAAGGGATCCCCGGGCGAAAGGAGATCCCCCTGGGGAAGGAGTGGGGCTTGGCAGGTTTATTGGTTTTATTTCATTCCGGGGGCCGGGGGGGGGGGGGGGGGGGTCGCTCCTTCAGGGGGAGATTCAGGCAGGGGAAAAGGGGTCGCGGGGCTCAGCGGCACGGAGCCGACCCCCCCCCCCCCCTCCCCAGCCACCCCCCTCCCAAATCTTCTCCGCGGCCGGTGGAGCGGGTGGCTCGTTGGCTCGTTGTTGGTATTTGTATAAAGTCCTCCGTGGATGTGCAAATAGCCGGGAGAGGAGGAGGAGGAGGAGGAGAGGCTGGGGTTACTTTGGTCTTTGTGCGGGATCCGTTCTCCTGCTCGCTCCGCGCCGGCCGCTCCTGGCTCTGGGTGCGGGATCCGAGGGGCTGCAGCCCGGGGGCAGCTCCGGGAGCCGGGGGGACGGAGCCCAGCTCGGGAACAATGTCAGGCAGCGGGGCTGCCAGAGCACGCCTCGCCTCCGCTTAATCCAGCCGCTGCGTAAAATCCGTCTTGCTTTCAGCGCTCGTTTCCCCCCCTCTTAGCAATAAAGCAGCGAGCCGCCAACCCGAGGCAGAGAACTCCTCTCGCATACTTTCCCTTCGGCTCCCGGCGAGCGAATAGTTTCAAGTACAGTTTCAAGAAAAGCACGGAAAAAAAATAAAATAATAATAATAAAAAAAATAATAAAGAACCACCAACCAACCCTTCAAACGGCGATCACGAACGGCGAGTTGCACTTACAAACTTCCAGCATTTTGCCCCCGGCACGCTCCGGCCACTTTTCCTTTGTGTTTTTTTTTGTATATTCCATCCCCGGCTGAGAGGGGGGGGGGGTGTTGGGTTTGGGGGTGGGTGCCGCCCGCTCGCTGTCTCTCTCCGCTCGCCTCCGGCTGCCGGAGCTGCCGGCGCTGCCCGTGGCCCGCGGTGCGTGCGGGGCCGCGGTGCGGGGCGCTGCGGGGGCGGGGGGCGGGTGGCACCGAGCGGCCGGGCCGAGCGCCGGAGCCTCCCAGCGGCCGCGCAGGGGAGGGAGGCAGGCGGGGAAGGAGAGGGAAATGTCGCCCCGCCGACCTCAGCCCGAGGTGGGGAAGGGGTGGGAGGTGGGCAGCCGGCTGGGGGGGGCGGGGGGGGATCTGGGTGCTGGGAGAGGGTGGTTTGCGCTAGGAAGGGGAAAGGGGGGGTGTAAGGGAAGGTTTGGGGAGGGGAGGCTCTGGTGGGAGCTTTTTGGGTGTCTGGCACTTTGCTTCCTTCCCGGGAAAGTCACAGCCTTGGTGCTTCTCTTTGCTGTCTCCTCGGTTCAAAAGCCCTCCGGGATGATCCGGTCCAACCACCCCCGTACCACTGCTGTCACCCACTGAACCATGTCCCTGAGCTCCAGGTCCAAACTTTCCTTCAACACCCCCAGGGACACCGCCACCTCCCTGGGCAAAACAACGCCTGACTGCTCTTTCTGTCTCCTCATTTCCAACCTGAACCTCCCCTGGCACAACTTGAGGCCATTCCCTCTAGTCCTAGCACTGGTTACCTGTGAGAAGCGGTCGACCCTCAGCTCCCCACAGCTTCCTTTCAGGTGGTTGTAGAGGGCAATGGGGTCTCCCCTGAGCCTCCTCTTCTCCAGACTAAAACCAGGGGTGGCCAAATGCCCCTGACACCATCCAGGCTGCAACCAGCAGCCGACAGGTTCCCCGTGTTGCTGCAGGTGAGGCATGAAGGAGGACGCAGGAATAGCTGGGAGCACTATTGTGCTACCATGAGGACACCTCTCTGGGAATAAAAATGGCCCTAAGCATACGGAGACACAAGCCTGATGCAAAAGTGTCAGCCTTTCAGTCCTAACATGAGACTTTTCAGGACCCCACAGCCCCTAACACAAGGACACATTGTCTCATTTGATGAGTTGGCCCATCAGAAAACCAGGCCAATTTCATTACACCATATGGAGAGCAGCAAGCTGAGGATGAGGAACAACTAACAGTGACCCTTTCAGGTGTTTTTATCTCCTGAAGTCCTGCTCACAACCCCTTTGAATGCCACTGATGAAACAACACATTCCTTAAACTCACCCCAAACACACAAACAACACACAGCGCTGGGCTATGGGAAACATTTGCTTGACCCCCATCTCCTTTTTGGTTGCACCAAAGCACCCATGTGGGTTCCCAGGATCTGGGTGTTTGGGCCCACGTCTGTCCCAGCAAAGACTTCGCTTCCTAACTGCGGGGTGGTGTCTGCGGGCGCCAGGTTTGGGGATGTGCTGTGTTCAGAGGAAGGCATTATTGCTAACAGGAAAAAGGGATTTTTTTGCTTAACCTTGAACAACTGAGGAAGAGTGGGTTATTATTTGATACGTAATGGTAGCTTGCATCTGTTGAGAACAATGGGCTGGCACTGGGGGAAAAAAATGGACATTTTTCTGTTTGTAAAATAATAGACAATGTTACCTTTGCTTCAGGCCTCTCTGGGGCTTTTATTCATTCGTTACAGCTCAGATGTCACTGCTGAGTTTAGGAGGGTCAGCCACAGACCGTACGTGTCACATTAACACAAATCTCATGGAAAGTAAGCAAGGGCACTTCAGATGACATCTTGATGGGGGGTTCGAAGTTGCTGTGGGCACACGAAAGCGATGGTGCTGCCCAGGGAGATACCCGGGTAGCTGCAGGAATCCTCTCTCCTGTGAGCTTCTGCAGATCTCAGAGAACGGTCTTTCAAAACAAAGATTCTTGAGCTGTAACTTCAGATGTCTAAGATTCACTTTTTGCTAAGCAGCATCTGATGTGTTTTGTGGTTTAATACAGACCGCTTCCAGGGCGAGAGACGGCTTGGTTGCAGGGCTGCGAGTCCCCAGCCGCGCAATACACAGCAAAGACTGCCCCTGGTGTTTCTGAGAAGGAAATACCCGAAACCCATCCTTCAGCTTCACAACTTTTGTCCAGGAGACGCTGCCGAATGCAACCAGCTCCTGGAAACAGGTTTCATTTTTGGGACCGGCTACTTGTCGGTTTTCTTAAAAGCAGACGGTTCTGAACATGATCCTAACGTCACTTGTGATCGTGTCATATGTGTGCTCATAAAACCACACGAGATGAGACATTAACATAATGGGTCCTGAATAATTCATTACTTTTATCCCCTATGCCAACATCTGTGACCTCTTGAAATGATACTGTAGGCTTATGTGAGCTGTCATCCTTGAGTATTTTTCCGTGTGAATTTGCTCCTGCTGCTGCAGCTCTGAGTTTCCCAAGCCAGCAGCCCCCACTGGGTGAGCAAACCTTTCCTGCTGCTGGCTTCGCGGCCGGGACTTCTCACCGTGGAAGTCCCATTGTGCTGATAACTTACCAAAAATTGAAGAAAATGACTATGCTGAACCTCTGTCGCCTAAAAACGTGAGTCCACGCCTAAATCTAGGCACACACCTCGTTCATCTCTGTTTAGAAATCACGTATCAAAGTCCTTCAAAGTTGTATTAACTCCACCAAAATGGCATGTGCTTAGTAACTGTCCCTGTGGAAGACTAACTAGGGCTATACATTTTCAGCCATTCCCATTATTTGTTTTTCAGAGGGTTCTTAGCCATTTTGAATGACTACTGCTATAAATAATGTGATAAATGTACTTGCAGCTGGGCACGCTGTTAGGATGCACCATGCAGCTCGCCTGCTCAATTGCTAAGCTTTGGAGCAGAATCTGACTGCACCTGGGTCACTTTTTGTGTCCTCAAAGTCTGGGCACAAGGCTCTGTGTAAATTGTAAAATAAGCCATCCTGAACACACACACACACACCTTTTTGAATTAAGAATACAATTTGCAGAAAAATGTAAAGAAACTGTGTCTATATGTTAATAAATAACAGGGAAAACAAACAAACAAAATAAAAACAACCCATACCATCCCTTATTACCGAGAAAAATACCCAAATTCTTATAAAGTATTCAGGGCAGTGTAGCCCACGAAGGGGGCATTATCATCAGGCTCTTTGAATACCACTTCACATATTTCTCACATTATTCCTTGGCTGGTCAATCATTATTTTCTGTCTTTCTTTTGTCTCACCTCGAAATTCAGATTGGAACTTGATATTTATTATTTCTCAAAGCAGAATCAGCAAGTCATCTTAATAAAGTATATTTCATGTGTGCCGGGTATTTCTCTTGGAGTGGTGCTGTATGTACATGTGTTTATCTAACACACCCACTCTGTTTATCCAGGAAGACTTAAAGAAGGATAAAACTACAAGCCTTTATTTATCCAAATAAAAGTAAACTAGAGGAGTTAAGCATGGGAATTGCCTGTAATTGCCTGCTGAACTACTAGAAATCGCTGCTTTTGGAAAACAGAAGCTTTCACTGTCTAAAAAAAAAAAAAAAAGAAAAGAAAAAGGCAGCATCAGCTATCTACTATTAGCGAAGTTTGCCATTCCACTTGATCCACAAATGATTTTTTTTCCCCGAAAACTGAGGGACAAGGGGAGAAAAACCACTTCTTTTCAAACTTCCCTGCAAGAACTGGACACAGAATATAGACCATAAAGGACCTCATCTCCCAAAAGCACACCACATTTGTAAGGCTGATCCCATGCATAAGCATCGCGTATGAATTTTGTCATTATCATAGTCCCGGGCTACAAAACTTCAACTAGATCAGATTATTCAAACACTACAGGAGCTAAAGTAATTTCGAAGTATGATCATTAATCACCTGCTCCAAGTCTAATCACATACTGATCTTTCTTCATTGTTCCATGAAGACAGCTACTTTATCTTAATTAGAGCTACTGCTTCAAAAACTCACACTAAAGACAATTAAAAATGCCCTCTCAGTACAAGCATTATATCCTCTCACCATTTAAATCCACTCAAAATCTCTGGAGTAGAAAAGGAACTGTGAAAGACCGGCTGGATTTCTGACTTCCCCCATCAGCTGACGTTTGCATTTCTCTATTACAAATATTCTTGCTGCAATTGGACCCGAAAACTTTGGGAGGGGGGGGTAGGGGGGGAGTGAGCCCTCTTAACACTACACACGGTACAAGTGCTAGCATTTACATACAGCCTGTCCTGGAAAATTTGACCTGAATTTTCACATAAATGTCTCTTCTAAACAATTTTTTCATTTCCTGTGGTGAAGATGAATGTAAACACGATGTCACGATACTTCACGTTCTCTGCCTTGTAGAACCTCTTCAGGTAAAACAGCAGCCACAAAAATATTATCACTTCCTCTAATCTCGGTGAGAGGAATAGTGAAGCCTGGTTATACACACACAAACATTTTGTCAGCCCCCTGCCAAGCCAGCTGAAGTTATCAGCTTCCTGCTGACACAGAAATCAGTGATGTCAATTCGAGGCATTTTCTTAGTCTCACTAGCATTTTCTTGGTCCAGCTAGTGATGTCACAGGCAAAGTCGGTGAGCCGGCGGAGGCACTTTCTTCCAAGAAATTTTGCATGACTGGAAAAAAAAACAAAAAAAAACCTGCCTGCAGGAAAAAGAAAGAAGTAAGTAGCTCAGAGACTTTTTATGCAAATGAAGAGGAGGTGAGAAACATGATCTGGGACCGCAGAATGGCTGAGCTTGTTTCTCGCAGGGGAGCGCAGCTACCCTATACCCCTGACTGATGAACTGTAGGGTCTCTATCGGGGAAGGTCGGGAGGGACGCACAGCGAGCAGTGAGGGAGGAAGGGGACACCCCCCTAGCCTGCCAGATCAGCTGAATCAGCCCTGGAAATCAATGGGGTGACAGATACTGCTGCCAGATTGCCCTCATATCCAATAATATTCCACCCCCCAGTTTGTGCGCTGGGGAGGAAAACAAGGGCTCGTCCGGGATTTGAACCCGGGACCTCTCGCACCCTAAGCGAGAATCATACCCCTAGACCAACGAGCCAACCATGCAAAAATCCCAGAATGAGCAAAACTCATCACTGGAATAAATTGACAATTTTCAATCTAAATGTAGGTTCTAATGAAATATTACAAATACTCAAAAAGCCAGAATTTCCCAAACTTTTTTTTTTTATTTTTTTATTTTGGTAGTATTCAGGTTAGACGTGGCAAAATGAGAAACTGACTGTTCATTCCAACAGCTTTTTTTTTTTTTTTTTTTTTTTTTTTTTACATAGAAATCATTTTCTAGAGCTTTCGGAAAATTCAGAAGGCAGCAGAATTTAAAACTATTCTGAAAGGTCTATGGAAGTGCACACCATTAAGCGGTACAAACCCCATTAATTTCAAAACAGTTTTCTTTCATGAGAACACATTACACCAAACAAATATCATTATTTTAGAGATACCAACAAAAGTGTACAAAAGAGATTTTGTTAACAGAAAGAAGTCAGGTTTTCAAGGGGCACTGCTTTTCTTAAAAGGGATATGCTTGAGATTGATTCCTCAGTAATTTTAAGTTGATGGGTGTGTTCCCACCAACAGTCCCAGAATAACAGGGATGGACAAGGAAAGAGAATAGAAAGCACAAGTTACTTCAGCTCTGGTAACCAGGGAGATAAATATGATATATAAAATCTCAGAATATTTACATATTTAACTGACAGTTAAGGTATGAAAATAATGTCTTCAAGTACAAGTTTACTTGAGGGTAAGTCTCATCCTCTTTACTGGGATTTTTCATCACAGTTTGTAAATCTTGTTACTTACGTGATATAATAGAAAACTGACAGCATTGGCTCATTCTACCACCACATAAACCCATTGCTGAGTTTCAACACCTTAAGATATAAAAGTACTTCATTACTTACAATTAATGCTGAGAAAAAACTACTAAATGATAAATTTACAGTTCCTATGGAAAAAAGCCAGCAGATTCTGACCATGACAAGGTACATGTGGCAGTAGTTGCCCACCCAATCAGCATGTGACCAGTAACGTGGCATATCGAGCATGAGGAGTTCTGATGGACAAATACCTGAAAAATCAGGCTTCATTAGTTTTACTTCTGAGAAAGCAACTTGTTAAAAAAATCTGGAGAGTTAATGGTATCGTCCCTTTTACCAAGCTGCTCAGCCACAACAGACTAATAAAAGTCTGTGCATACAGAAGGATGTAAGCACAGTCCCTAGCTGGATTCAAAACCCTGTGCCCTGCTCCTTCTCGTAGGCTACATATAATTAATTTTATATGCAGCACAAAGTAAAGGGACAGAACGGACCATATAGCACTTAACCCTTCCCAGCTCTTCAAAAATCTACTCCCCGTGCCCCATGGTAAGCCATGCATCATGATTCTAAGTAACTCCCACTTTCTGTTGTCAGATCATGCTGGAAGAATTCTTGCTTAGCTTGCACAGCCGCGCTAATCCATTCTCTTAATTGTTTACTTACTGCAAGTTGTTGCCATTATGTTTGTACAACATAATTTGACATTTGAAATCTCAGTAAGTTGTCTCAGTTGTGTATCAGAGACAGCATTGTGGGCCCAAGTGTTCATTTAGATGGCTAAGCCAGACTCAGTCGGTATGACACCTATAAAGTGACTCATCACCTAGTCTCTAAAGAGAGGAATGACTATTGTGCTGCAAATGTAGTCAGAACTGCAGAATAGTTCCTCTGTTGCCTTGCAACAGTCTACAGTGATACCTCAGAGGGGAAATAAATCCTTGCATTTGGGTCCTTTTCATCGTAACTATCATTCTAAGTGACTGAAGGTACGATGCAAGTCATACGTTCTTGTGTAACATAGCCTCATCTTCCCAAATATCCCTACTTGCAAAGGTCTCAGCATCTCCCACCTTCCCTGTGATGCAGCTCAGTATAGGTAGACAGAAGATTTATTTCACAAAAATAACATCTTGGTATCTCTTTGCTTAAGAATAAGAGGAAACTTAGAGTGACCTGTGCAGTAAGACTGGGAAGACCCATTTGGTAAAACTTCGGGTTATTATTTACACAGATGAAAAGAAGATACAGCACATTCTTACACAGTGGTTTACAGACACGTGGATTTAAGCATAATACAGCCTAAAAGGAATACTGAAGACCAGGCAGAGATAAAGTGCACGCAGATAAAATAGGTCATTCAGTTCTTTACAAGACGTCTTTCAAAGAGCTATATGACCACTTAATCCATTTTTTCTTCTTGGAAATCATCTGCATCATTCACGTAGTTTTCAAGATCGTTGTATCTCTGCAAATCAAATAGAACTTGTATTATTTGATCAAGGTTTAATAACTGAATTACACAAAGAATGCTTTTTGTGTTTTTCTTCAATACATTAACAAGCATGCCAATAACAACTCAGAAGCAAAGATATCTAAAAGCTTGTTAAAAGCAACACTACTCCAAGTTGCCTTAAAATACTTCATAAAGCATTTCTGAAACAGCCAAAGTACTCCACGTAAAGCGAAAAGTATTCTTGCTGTGCCTCATGTACATGTTTCCAGTCTTCATGAGTTACATACAGCTTGAGTTTGTTGTGTTGCTGCTTTCAGATGAAACAAGAGCCTGCCCAGCTCAGCCCAGAGATCATGCAGCTGCCAAAAAGCTTAATGTCAGAAGCTGATAGAAACCGTACGTGAAAGCAGTGGGCATACCGTTTGAGAGACTCGATCGGCAGAAGCAGATGAATGGTTAAGCTGAGTTCTTATTATCAAAGACCAATAATTCAGAACTTCACACTTAAATGAAACGTTTTATCTCAGCTTTATTTTGTCTCCTTGAAAAAGGATACATCAGCTGACTTGGTCATACCTCCTGAATCCACCCTGTGTCTTCCAGGTGACTGAACAGCCGTTCGACCGTGTCTTTAACTGGTTCATCCTCAACACCATCCAACTTGGTAATGGAGCTGCAGTCCACATACAACTTGTATTTGAAGTGCTTCAAATTATGGTAAACTCTTGTACGATTTGCACACACTACGCCAACCTTCAAAACCTAGACCAAAGTAAACACATTATTTTCTCAGGGAGGACGGTCATCATCTTGACAATATAATGAATGGCCAAGTCAGCCTACCTAATAAAATTTTATCAGTCAATCTGGAAACATTTTTTTTAATAATGAAATAAATAAAATCACAGTACATGCATAAAATCAGAGTAAAACCATGTAGTTTTCACTACCACAGCAGAACAACTTTGGAGCAAGCAGGCAGTCAGCAAGCCTAAACAATAGCAGCTTATCAGCACTGTTTTCTTGCAAAAGCTGTACACAGCCATCTTTATAACTACCATCATCTTTGTTGTCTCCTGGGGGAACTTCGTTACAGAATCACTGGCATTTTAGAAAATCATCATACTGTGAAAGCAGAGGAAGAAGAATTATTTGATGACTTTTGCTTAAAATGTAGTATACTTCTAGGGACAGGAATCAACAGTTCTAGCATTTTGTAGACTGAATAATATTCAGTATTTCTTTAGTATATACATATTAATACAGATAAATATGTGCACTGGCATATATACTTAATAAATGCGTATAGATTTCAAAAAAGGAATATCCGGAACCCCAGGTTTTATACAGTGCACATAGACTGGTTATAAGAATGTTCAGCAATCCCAAACTTTCACTAAGAGTATGTGAAATCGGGGGTGTGCATAGGGAGATAGAGTCAAAGTTCACCTACATTTCAGGACACCCAGCAATAGTAATAGGTGCACAAATTACTATTTCAACCCGTGGAGACAAAGACTATTAAATAAAAATATCTACATCTGGCTGGGTTTTGGAGTCAGGTTTTCTACCCTCCAAAGCAGGAAAATAAATACATTCGTGAAGAAACTCAGCTCCTGATGCACACAGGAGAAACTGATTTAGCATTACTACAAAACCCCCATAAACATCCTTCAAGGGCAGCATTGTTTTGGATTGATGTTTTGTCACATCTTTGAGAGTAACAAGCAGATAAATGGCTAAAGGTCAAAATTCTTTACGTCAATAATAAAAGCTGTGATTGTATTGCTATTTTGGATTACACTGCACACATTTCAACGGACCGCATTATTTACTGCAAAATGATCTCTTCTGAGCCACAACAGTGATGCTCTTCATTGCTGCCATTGGCAATAATCTGAACACTCTTTTAAAGTATTAGAAGGTTAAGTTTTAATCAATGCTTACATCCTGCATTTTCAGCAAACTTTCCTAAATGCATGACCAAATGTTTGCATCTGTGAGCAGTCTCCCAAAACATCTGGCCCACTTGTACAACCTAGCTCTAGCAGCATCTGCTGACAGTTACAATGATAGAAAAGCATACTTAGTTCTTATCATGTTTATACATATAAACGAAAAATTATATTTATTATTATATACATAAATACATTTGAGTTTTTAAACATATTAACCAACAGCTCAGGTGATATAAACTGATCACCAAAGTCAATGGAGGCACTCTCACTTGAAAAGACTTTTGATCTGACATACATAGATGTCTATGAACTGAAAATGTAACCAGCTTGAGATAAAAAATGCTATAATTATAGTGCAATTGTCTAATGATCATGTGTGTTCATGTACCTATATGCAGCTCCACTTCCTACTCACACCCAAAACTGAAAAACTAAGGCTTATGTTGGGTGCTACAGTTGTTTCTAAAGTGCAAGACCTACCAATCAAGGCAAAGCCTTGAATGATTCAAACTTCCAGAAGTACCATTTCAAACACTGAGACGATCAAAAATGCGATGTGGTGTTTCACTGAGTGTTTCACAGCTTTTTAAGCATTCCAAGCAACGAGGTGCGGTCCAAGCAATGAAGTGTGGCATCTGGAACACGGTTTGGTCAGATATCATTCTGCATCAGACCAAAACTCTGCCTGGCCCCGTTCTTCCCGTTACAACAGCTACTAGGAAATGTTTAGGAAGTTAGTATAATATACAGGACGTACACCATAATGTTTATGGTGTTATCATACAACTTGTAGCAGTCAACAGTTCAGACATTCTGTATCATCTCAGCTATCACATTCCATAGCATGGAAGGAGCTTCCCCAAGAACCTGTCTAATCCCTTTTGGGACCCAATTACAGTTTTTGCCTCCAAAGTGCCTTGTGGCAAAGAGCTTCATAGTTTATTTATGTGTGTGGTGTAAAGAATTCCCAGACTGGAGAGGTGCCAGAGGAAAATAGTTAAATATCACATAATGTCATTACGCATTGTGTTTTTAAAGCAAAGGAAGATCGTCTAAAAATATAAGGTTATTTCAGAATGCAGCTTTGGAAAGAATCTCAGCACTGTACACATTCTAATTTTCTCCGCTCACAGTTCTCACTGACTCTATCCTAATGCTTAGCTTATCTGCTCAAGCTGGCCATATCAGCCAAAGTGGTGTTAAATCACTTTGTACGGAATGCAGGAGCATAGCCTGACAACAGCCTAACACGTAGTGACTGAATTCATGTCCTCTAAGCACAGATATAAATGGAAATACAACGCTGAGACTGAAAGCAGAAAACAGTTTATAATCCAGGTGACGCAGGAGCAGAGAAGTGTAGGGGACACCAACAACTCCAAACTGTTCGATTCTCCCTGACCATGGAGGGCTGGGAATTGGCAGCTCCTCACCACAATCACTGCAAGCCTAAGCAAAACTGGAACAGCTGTTTCTCTTCAGGCCTATTGGCAAAGCAGAATACTTCAGAGATGAGAGAAAAGGAAAGTTTTATGCAGAAGAGGAGGGTTGGAGGTCTGTTTTTGTTCTCTACACATCCACTTTTCTTGAGTATTTTCAAATAAAACTTTAGAAATAGTCCAAATATGTATTTCCAGTCAATTTGATCTGCCAGTGCTGATCTGCCTCCTTTCAGTCAATTATTTTCCTTGCAGTGCCAGTTTTATGTAGCTCTGTGTGCCCTTTTTGTTCTTTCTTTTCCCTCAATTGGCAGGACAAGTTGATCAATGCACTGCCAGAAGAACTTCAAAGACAACTTGAGAACAGTACGTTTAACAGCCTCAATTAAAGGTCACCGTAGGAATAGGAATGTTGCATTAGCAAGCCATTAGTAAAAATTACTGGAAAGTGCTCAATCACTCGCTCTCCCGGGTCTGTTCTGCAGCCCCTGAGCTCCACTGAGCATGCACGTAGCAACCATCTCACCAGATGCTGGGCTACACAGCATAAAGAAAACCCTCGTCTTGTATTGTTAAGCTGAAGAGGATAAAAATGAACCAGCAAGTTAGTTTAATATTCAGTAGGATATTTCAAGTGTTTTCCACAGTGAAAAACAGCCAATATAGGACAACATTTGGGCAGCAGTGAGGGGGTTGCTACTGTTATTTCCACAGTTAAAGTGGAAGTTGAGTAAAGATTAAATTCTTGTGCTAGTTCGCTTCTTTCTGCATAGGTAAGGCACATATTTCCCATGCAAAACTGTTTTTAAGTTAGTGATCTTCCTGACATATAGGTCTGTAAATGTAGAGTAATGACTGTACGATGGTCTGCAGGAGCCGTGCTAGTATGACTGCTTCCCCACATCCTAAATGCTTGGTATTTTCCTTCAACAAATCAGGGGAAAAGCCAAGCTCTCTTAATTATCATACACATGCACTCTTATCAAAACAGTATTAACGGCTACTGTTCAGCAAGTTCTGTAATCTGTTCAACCAAAAAAAAAACCCCACACCTGTCAGTTACCTAGATTTACCTAGATTCTGCATCACAGTATCACGATGACATAATGATAATCACACCAATGGCCCTCAAATGTCTACATTAGAATATTTACAGAGATGCAGCCTATCTAGGCGTGAGCTTCAGTAAGGTAAGCTTCCAGTTTGTTGAGGGCTTCACTTTATTTTTCTGTAAGAAATCCTATTATATCCCTTTTCAAAACATGTTGTAAATACATCTTGTGCTGACACTTTTTTTCAGCAAGCACTGTGAAGAACTTCATCTGTATTCAGCAACTCTTTTACATGCACAAAGAAAAGGAATATAGCTTCTCCTGAAATACATCTCCTGAAAGAAAGAGATGTAAGGAGAAAGGCAGAAGCTGGATAACAGCTTGGTATGCAAACGCAACAATATTTTATCCTTGACAAATCACGTATTGAGTTCATCATAAGAGGTCATCAATTACATTACTTAGGAAGGCCACATGCATACATAATCATAACAATTATTGTTAGCTGTAAATTTTATGCTAAATACAGGGAACACCCAGGTTCTTAATATTCAAGCTCTTCCAAAGTCTCAGCTGTGAAATACAACAAAGTTGACTGCTCAAGTCATCTAGAATGGCTGCTTAGTGCAACAATGTGTATGTAACAACACAAAAGACATGTTTCATTCAAAAATTACAATTTAATCCAAAATGCCCTAGTAAAGACAGCTGGGTGAGAAAAAGATGCAAGATTACCTAAGTGGAAATGTTTTCTAGTTTGGACAAATTGTTCCAATAACGCAGAAATGAAAAAAAAAGGTTCTACTAGAATGTACCAAAGTGGTTGGGAACAAGTCTTCTCGAAAGGAGATAAAGAATTTCAAGTGTCAATTCAACTGAGATCTCAAGATACTTTGTCCTGGGTGAATAGCTACATGGGAAATAGCAGATGTGAAAACATCTGAAGAATGAAGCAGTAAATCTTGACTAGGCTGCACTTGGACTGTCCGAACTGACAGTGGCACTATTTCACTCAGTGTTCTGACCTACAGCAAACAAGAGCACACGGGCACTCCAAATGCTGCAGCAGTCGGCACGGAATTAGCAAACCTAGCGACCCAAGGCAGAACAAACCTTACTGGCAACAAGGGAGAAAGCAGTCATTCCACAGAGATGATCGTCCATTACACATACAGTTACTTCTATAATGTTTCTGAAAGCTAATCAATGCATGACTCTTGCTGGGAAGGTCTTAAGGGCATTATAGGCACACAAAAAGGTAAAGGGCTTTCAAGTGATCTAATTTCAGTGAAAAGGCATTCTGATATTTAGAACAGATGTAACTCTGAGGCAAATGTCACTCCTGATTTAAAGCCTCAGGCTCCTGGCACGAGGAGATAGGATCTATTCAAGATTAAAACAAAAAAATAAGTCCCAGCATTTCTCATGTTCTTGGTAAAAACCAGGAATGCCAGACATGTTCAGAGCAACACTCAATCGTGTCTTTTTTTTTTTTTTTTTTTTTTTACCACTAGAGCTGTTTCTCCCTTCTTTATAATATGCTTAGGATTTTCAACCTTCTATTGAACATCCTCTGCCAAAACAAAACACAAAACTACTTTAGAAATAATTGATAAGTGCTTGTATTAGTACTTCAGTTAGTATGTGAGTCTCCGTGTGTGCTCTCAGCCTGGTTGACACACAATTTCTGACAACCTCCACATGCACCACAAAAGACAAGCATGCAGAGGACACCCTGTACCTAGAGCATTTCCTTCCTGCCCTGGGTATGACTCAGACTGCAGAGATTTGAAACAGAAGAAACACTGAAGCAAATCTTAATTTTGGGTTGAAGGCAATAGTTTTCAATGAAACCTATCACATGTCCTGGAACACTCTATCTTTCTTATCCTGATGTTCAGCTCACAATTGCATATACTTAGTAGTACTTCATGCAGTGCTGTAACAGGTACTAACAGTAAGCAGAAAAGCTGGGGAGGAAACTGCACACCAATGACTGAGATGCAGGCAAAAACAAAGGTCATAAAAAAAAAGAAAAAAGATTTATTTTATTGATAAAAGTGGTTTTTTGAAGATACTTTTCAAGACCTCTTTCCCAAGATATTAGAAAGGACCAGGGGTATGGAGGGAAGCATCTATTTCTCCTCATTTTCACAGGAACTGCCTTCATGACTCCTACCTAGACCTGAGGCTATACTCCTCAAAACTGCAAAATGGTCATCGCATTTTAAAAACAAACAGGAGTTCAGATGTGAAGTACAGCAGCTTAACGCTTGCATCTGGCATTACAGACGTTACAGGTGCTGACTGGATTTCTATTTGTTGTATGATTTTCCGTAACACTACACTAAGCTTAAAAATAATTATATAAGGTTCTTGTTTGGAGTTACCTGTTTGTCATCTGACATGAATTCATCTGCTTCCAAGGTTCTGCTATCATAAAGCTTTCCAGATAGTAGCACATTAAACTTACAATACCGATTCAATCCACAGGCATGACAGAACTTATTTGTTGGATTTTTCAAGACGATGCGAACATTTGGGTAACAATCCACACGCTCCTGAAAAACATTTTTCAGATAACATTAAAGAATCTCCATAAACTTGAATAGACTGTATACCCCTACTAGGGGTAAATAATAGAGTACCCTCTATTCGCACAAAATCAGCAGTAGAGAAAACCAAAAAGATTCAAGTGTGAAGTTTTTTAGCATTCAGTTGCAAACATGTACCTTCTTGATCACTTTCTAACACTTCACCCAGTTTTATTTCATTTAGCTTCAGGTCTACAAGAGTGACTCCTGCATCCAGGCAGTTATTTTTCTTTCATCTCTCCCTCTGTTTTTATTTCTTCTGGGGCAGTGGTCAGGGCAACTGCATCAGTGGGCCTACCTCGAATAAATACTGTATCCCACCACAGTTCATACTGCATTACTGCAGTGATTACTAGGTCACCACAGCTAGAACACTAACAGTATTCCAGTACTTCATATACAATGATTTTGACTAGGCTACTGTATCTTGGCTTCATATTTTTGAAGTAGCAGAAGATTCATTATGAACATACTGGTTTCTCTTTTTGTGGGAGGGGGATAACATTTTGTTATAACATTGAACAAATGACAAAAAATACTCTAAATACCATCTGCTAAAGTCAGCTGGAGAAGCATTCAGGTCACAGAGAACAAAATCTGAATGCTTATCTGAATGTTTATTGTGTATTCATAAACACACAAATATTTCTGATATTTGCAAGTATCAAAACAAGTTACATATGGTAAAGAGCAACGAGTCTCTTGAAATATATATATATAAATATATAGTGAGCATTGTGCCTTTATTGAAAATTATACTACCGAAAAAATCCGTCAGTAACTATATGATTTGGAGAGCACTTCACCATTTAAAGTAGAAGCTACGTACCTTGTACCGATCTTTCCAACGACTTCTGGAGATTAAGTTGTCAAGACGAGGCTGAACAAAACGGTCATCCAAATAATGAAGGGAGAGCAACATGTCTTGTGCATACTTCTTTTGCCTTGTTCCATCTGTTCAGCAAGAGTCATTACTGATTTGCTGACCATCATATGTTGTACAAGTTTCCTCAAATAAAATTTTCGAGGACATTATGCTTCTGCATACTAAGAACCATGAATAATTGTAATAAATTACTACCGAGTACATTTAGTACCGTTTTCCAGATAAGTCACACATGCATTTTTGATAAACTAATACATTTAATTAATTTACAGGTGTGTATCACAGGAGGTACACAAATAAACTCTACAAGCCAGGTTAAAGTGGAAAGCTGTCACCCCAAAGGTAGAAGTATTCATTCAATGCCATTTAAAAGAATTGAAAAGGAAAAAAAAATGTCTTGCTTTTTGCCCAGCTTATGTGAGGTGTTCATAATGTACAAGAGAAGGTTGTAATCCACGAAAACAAACTGCCGAGTAGCTTCCCAGCAGAAATTTTGACAGCTCTCTTCTCCTTCATCACTTCCAAGCAACACATAGAAATTGACCTTTAGCCTTCAGCAGCCCAGTCACATGCCTGGAGTTAAGCAGCATAAATATTTCCAAATATTTACTCAAGCAAAAGAAATAAACCAGTAAGATGAGTAAAACATGAGTATTCCATGATTATCTCCCAGATATGTGCTAGATTCCAGGAATTAACAGGGAGTTTCACTGGTGCAGGCCAATTCTTACTGTCTCAGGCTTCAGCACGTACAGAAAAACATTAATTTGTGCAGTTACCTTTCCTAATCTTTTAGTGGTGCTGCTATCAAAGGACAACTGGCTATCTAGCCTTTTCTATAAGAACAGTTAATTGTCATTATCGTTATAGCTACAATAATTACCATAAATCAGTTATACTGAAACCTTTAAAGAGGTTGTGCTAGACTTTAAAATCTTTTTCATAATAAAAAGCACGTCTATCACTAAACTAATTCAAACTTAATTCAAACTAGTTATTAGTTATTAGTATTAGTATTAGGCTCTTAATTCAAACTAGTTATTTTGTGTTAACTCAGAAAAATCCATTCTGTGTTTTGAAAATATATTGTAATGCTAGGTGATGTTGTATGTTGCTCGTGGTATATAATATTCTTCTGAATACATCCTTTAACCTGCCTTCATAGCTGATATACTAGTAGCACCTCGGCAGGGAGTTAATAATTTTCTACAGTAGATACACTATGAAACAGAAGGAATGTCACATAGCATAAATCTGGCAAGATTTACTTTTCACTCTTCATAAACTTGTTGCACTTGGTAAAACAGAACAATACCTGAAAGAACCAGCAGTGGTAGCTGAAAGATGTTTTTAGTTGCAAGAATACACAGCCTTTACTCTAAAGCTTGTGGTGTGTTTCAGTTTCTCCATTCACCCTGATCTCCTGGTGACACCAGGAGTTGCCATTAAGGCTCACCAGGCCAAATCCTGAAAGCCACTTCCTCAGCAAAAACAAGCCAGGAAGTACCGACTGCAGTTGAAATTTGTTTTATCTCAAAGATCAAATATTAAAGATTAGGACACAGAATAATCGCCATAACTAAAATTATTTTTTATCTATCAAATTTCTCAGAAAAGACTACAAAACATGACATTTTGAAAAATCACATGACCTTGCGATCTTTCCACTAATTTGAAATTAATTTTGCTCTCATGCTGGAACTAGTACTACCAATCAGCAACACAGAAATACTTCCTTACACCTCAGAATGCCTTATGGGCTTAAAAGAATTAAGTCCACACACTTTTCCAAGATTACCCTACTCATTTCAGATAGATCAACTTTCTAAAGTTACAAAGCAGAAAAACTAGAAACAGATCTCAGGGATTTCAACTCACAAACTTATACTCTAACTGGGAGACCATCTTTTCCAAGAGTAAATGCCTTTGTTTTTGCATGCACTGTTAAATTTTAAATGCAATTTACTTACCATACAATGAGTTCAGGAAAGTGTCATCAATTGCATTTATGAGAAAGGCCTTTACTATTCTTTTGAAGTGTACATAAGGACTACAGCGAGATACTGGAAAGAAATAAGCAGAATTAAAAAAAAAAAAAAAAAGTATAAGCAAACTGACTGTCACATAATAAGTTTTTTTTTCCTCCATTATTGTAAATTTAGAATTTTAAAGTCATTTAAATATGAATTTAAATATAATGTTAAATGTCCCACATCAAAACCCCTTATTTAAGATCTTGCATTTAAATGTTGCTTCTCATCCCAATAATCTTAATGAATTTTAGCATGTCCTAAAGTCACACACGTCCTTTCATCAGGAGCCCAGTATAGGAGCTATAAACACAAACTAAAGAAAATAAATTGTTCTATGAATGGCAGGAAGCAATGCAAACAACAGAAGGTCAGGCTTATGATTTTTATTTTCCTAACTTTCTTTCAAATAAACCTAATTCTGCTCACATCTTTACTGGGGAACACATACCACAAACGCGTGTAACCATCTACACTAGCACTGACTACCCTGTCAGTACACACCTCCTCCTAACAACAAAGTATACAAGAAGAAAACTAGCATGAAACTTCTGGTTCAAGTTTCTCCTCCATCCAGATACCAGTTTTCATAAAGGGAACGTGACCAACATGACAAGTGTTCTGACTCAGTGCAGCTTGTCTAAAACTGACCTATGGATTCAGAAAGCCCTCCAGATCAGCGCTTCCAAGTCTTGCTGCCATAAATAAAAATACATTACAAACAAAACAAACTAAAAACAACCCACAAGCAAGACTCTTATGTCATTCTCCAAGACAAAATTGATCCAAAATTAACCCATCTGTTAACCTATCTGCACATAGGTAGCCTCATTCTAAAGCAGACTGACAAAAAAAAAAAAATCTGGGCAAGAGAGCTTCTTGTCCTTCTCTCCAAATTATACCCTCCCTTTAATAACGTACCGAAGGACGGTAAAAGTCTACTGTGGAAACCACACGCACTTTCACAAATGAAAGCTGTTCAGGAATTTCTGCTTTTGAACTATCATATTCTATTACACAGTATTATTTTGTATTTAGAGCCCATAAATATTTATTGCAGCACTAAAAACAAGTTATAAATATAGAATTGTAACTAATTTTGATCTTACACTGTGGGATGTAGTATGCCAGCAATTCAGCTATTTGATGTATTTATATCTTTTTGTTGCCTTTTTTCAGTCTTTACTTGCTCTGTGTCGTCATCATCACCTTCTTCTTCCTCATCATCAACTATAAAGTCTTTCAGGCTGTCACTGTCAGTTTTGCTTTCTTCTGTTGGTGTGAGGTTACAGAATGGTTCCTCTTCTATTTCTGTTTCACTACTGGTATCCTAATTAAATTTAAAAAATATATTTCAAAAGCAAATCAAGAATTTTTAGTATCTGCACTAACAAAATACTACATCTACGGGACCTTCTAATGACCATAACTGTTAACAAAAAATAATGCATTTCAGAAAATCCATCATTCTGTACTACATGACAATTACTTTCTGCTTTAAATCAGCAATCTCCATGTACCTCTCTCCAGTCAAACAGATTGAATAGGAATTAAGTTAACATGAGATTTCTAAGGTGCTTTAACAGATACTTTGTTTCTTGATTAAGAGTAATCTGATAGTCCTCTCACGTCTCTTCTCTAAGGAAAAAGGAATATTAAAGATATTTTTCCCCTTCTGACAACATAGAGAAGAGTGATACGTGCATTCTACGCTGCTCAGTCATCAGAATGCCTGAAAAAGCAAATGAAAGGGAATTCTTAAATCCCCAGTGACAAAAATTAAATTAGATCTAAAGGTTTTCAGCACTCAAAACTGTTATTTAGTTAACACGTGACAACTGTTGAAATGTGATAGGATTACTGATTTGTCATGAATAAAAAACAAAATTAAAAAATCCTACTGATTGGTATCTATTAATTGCCATCTTCCCCTACATTTAGTGGTGGAACTGAAGCTCAAAGATAAAATTCAGACCTCCCAATTTTCACTTGCAGAAGATGTCCGAGATGCTCTTTGTCTTGCAAGAGCATTCAATTTTGCCACCACTTTCTGTTTCCTGCTAGTAGAAACATTTTCCGTAGGGCAGGTTTTATCAGGCTGCTGTTCTTGGGAACTCTCATCTTCATTAATTATACAGTGGCGTTTGGCAAAAACTTTCCTAACAAGGATATCACTGTCCTCGCTTTCATCGCTGTCGTGCAGTACCGAGCTGTTCAACCTCTTACGCTTCCCAGGCACAACGCATTCATCATCTGTTATTTCCCCGCTGTGGATTTTCTCTTCCTGATCCGAAAAGCCATTCTTCAGAACAGTTTCATCTTTTTCGCCCACTCCATCCTCTGACACGGTGGATTCCGTGGACTCTTCCTCCTCGGAGGTAAGCGAGGATTCGTCATCGCTGTCAAACAGCAGGCGCTCCCTCTTGGTGCGCCTCCAGTCCACGCGGGATTTGGCTGACAGCTCCGTCCCGGCCGTCTTGTTTCTTGTTTCGTACCTCCTGACACCTGCTGCGGCCTCCATCGGGAAGCTGTGACAACACACCACGATACACACCGGTGAGACAACGGACCTGTTACCTTATCCCAAAGGATGAGGGCGAGCTGGCACATTTTACCATGTAAAATTATAGTATTTAACGAGACCATTAGTGAGACACGGAGAAAACATCACCGCACCACACTCAGGACTTCTGAGGAGCGCACACCTTCCTCAAAACACACACAGGAGCACAAATACCCCCACCCAGCCCGAAAAAATTGAAAAAACCTTTAAGTATACCCCCCCTCCCACACCGGCCGAGGCAGAGTGCTCGGACCTGCCACCTCAGGCCTCCCCCGGTGTCCCCACCGGGTCCTGTCCCCCCCCCAGGTGGGGCTGGGGCGCCCCAACGGGAGCCGGGTCGGGCCCAACGGGGCCCATCCCTCTCCCCCCGCCGCCACGGCACAGGCCGATGGTCCTCGTCGCGCCCTGTCGCGCCATATCGCACTATATCGCGGCATGTCGCGCTCTGTCGCGGCCCGGCCCCACCGGTAGTTACCGGGAGCGGTTCCCGCGCCTCAGCGCGCGCGCGGGCGGCCGAAGGGAGATCACCGCCCACACCCCGCGCTCCGCGCACTCCGATTGGCTGCCGCGGCCTGTCACTCAGCCCCCGGCATGTTTACGGAAGTGCTGGCAGGTCATGGGGGAGGCGGGGTTGTCACGTGGTTTGCCCAGGGTTCGCAGGTTGGAGCCGGAGGCCGCGGGTTCGAGTCCTGCCCCCGCCGCAGGGCAGGGCAGGGCCGGGCTCCGCCGTCCTCCCGGCCCTCAGCTCCCTGCCTAGCAGGCGGGGTTAGCACCGGGATGTGGTGGCTCGGTTGTGATCGCGGTTCAGCTCGGTGCATTTGTGTTTCTGAGGCTCTGTGGGCTTGCTAAGCGTGGGACAAGAGGGATTCTGGTGGCCACTGGCGGCTGCAGGTCGTAGAATCATTCATATAGAATCACAAAATGCTTGGGCTGGAAGGGACCTTAAAGCCCACCCAGCTCCACCCCCCTGCCACGGACAGGGACACCTCCCACCAGCCCAGGTTGCCCAAAGCCCCATCCAGCCTGGCCTTTGAACACCTCCAGGGATGGGGCATCCACAGCTTCTCTGGGCAGCCTGGGCCAGGGCCTCACCACCCTTACAACAATAAAGCATTTCTTCCTAGTGTCTAATCTGAACATACCCTCTTTTAGTTAAGAGCCATTCCCCCATGTCCTGTCACTGCACCCCCTGACAAGGAGTCCCTCCCCAGCTTTCCTGTAGCCCCCTTTAGGTACTGGCAGGCCGCTGTAAGGTCTCCCCAGAGCCTTCCCTTCTCCAGGCTGAACAACCCCAACTTGTCAGCCTGTCTTCACAGGAGAGGTGCTCCAGCCCCTCTGATCATCCGTGTGGCCCTTCTCTGGACTTGATCTAACATTTCCATGTCCTTCTTGTGCTGGGGGCCCCAGAGCTGAACACAGGGCTCCAGGTGGGGTTTCAGGAGAGCAGAGCAGAGGGGGACAAACCCTCCTCTCGACTTCCTCACCACGCTGCTCTTGGTGCAGCCCAGGATAACGGTTGGCCTTATAGGCTGCAAGTGCGCACTGACAGCTGTGTCAAGCTTCTTATCCACCAACACTCCCAAGTCCTTCTTGTCAGGGCTGCTCTCAATCCATTCTCTACCCAGCCTGTATTTGTGCTTGGGATTGCCTCAACCCAGATACAGGACCTTGCACCTGGACTTGCTGAACCTCACAAGGTTCACACAGGCCCACCTCTCAGGCCTGTACAGGTCCCTCTGGATGGCATCCCTTCCCTTTAGCACGTCAACCCCACCACAGAGCTTGGTGTCATTGGCAGGTCACTAAGACCTGTACAAAGGCTTCCCTGGGAAAGCAGCTTCTTCGCAGCTGTACACTACTATCTGCTGTTTTGTGAGCAAAACCTGGTAATTTTCACATGTTCTATTCCCAACTGTCGGGGGACATGAGAACAGAGGTTGTTGAAGCTGCAATTATGGGGAGGTTTGGGGTCACCGGGCTGTGACCCACCCACAGCTGAAATCCCAATGGTGCTTGTGCTTTGGAAACCCTCTGCCAGCCCACTGTCCTCCATGGGCTGCCCTGGAATAAAACAACACTTTATTTGACAACCGTAAATCATAATTTGGGTATGATGCCTACTGCTCTGTGGTTCCCTTCAGTGAAAAATCAGCAGCTAGGTGACATACAGATGTCCTCCTAGAGCCGGTGCTTGAGGAGAGAGCTATCAGCTCCATGCAGAGCTCTTTTTCTTTGTAATAACAACTTAGGAGCACACACACAACTGCTGAGCAAGGGCACTGCTCTCAGCTGGGGCTGGCCCTGTGCTGCAGGGAACTCCCAGAATGGAGGTTAGGAAATGGGGAGGTGGCCCGAATGCTGTCCTGGTCAGGGGAGAACACAGGAATATTGCAGCAGGGCAGTCTGGGGGATGGAGAGGATAAAAAATTCATAAGGAACCAAGTTGCACTAGTTTCACTGCTCAAAGACCAAGACATTTTCTGGATCAGTATACACAGAAGAGGAAACTATTAAAATCTACAGTAATGATCTTCTGTTGTTTGTCTGCTTAAAGTGTCTACTGAATGTGATGCTGGATTCTGTTCAATGCTAATACTTTTATAGATGCATTTTACTAACGAGATTTGTATCTTAAATTTGTTTTTTCATTGCTTGGTCTGCAGTAGCAAACTGCTGCTGTCTTGGAACTCACTGTGATGGCATTGTTTGTACTGCTTGGTCTTAACAAGACCTTGTAAATGCCTCCAAGAATTTGTTTAAAAATAAGTGGTAGTGAAAACACAAGGAAAGGAAATACCTGGAAATGAAAGACAATTCTTTCTCATCTTATTTACAAACCACTGCTATGGATTTCATCTGGCTTTCAAATACACGAAGAGATTCAGGCAGGTGTTTATGTAGATGGCGGGTTGAATTCCCACTGAAATGTTTGTATTGCAAGGATTAAAATGGTTATCATTCAAGGATTATATTGCATTAAGGGACCTATAGTACCAGCCTGGCATTTATTTTAATTGCTTGAAAGTCAATAGGTGGGTTTTCAAATAAATAAACGGAGCAGAGTTTGCCCAGGATTTAATGTTCCGTCCAAGCTGTGAAGCAAGCTGGCAGTTCGGGGTGCCGGACCTGGTCTTCATCGCGATTCTTGCTTCCTACGTCGCCATCTAGTGATAGAAGGAGCGAAGAAAACCTTACTCTTATACCACTGTAGTACTACACATAGGAAAAAGGCAATTGCAATGAATATATTATATGGAACTAAAGAAAATGCATGAAATATATGTATTTTTTACTTAGATAGTATGAAGAGTTTCTGTTATCAGTGTTGTCTTCTGACAGACAGTTGAGCAGTTTTTATTACACACAATGCTAAAAGATCTTGTCTTGATTTTTCTGATCATTTTTCAGATTTATAGAGTCCAAGTTCCAGGGCAGTCAGCACTGTGGGGTCGTGTTGTGTCCTCAGATTTTTAGAATTTGACCTCCAGTCAAGATACAAGTTTTCGAAAAAGTCCGGTTTACTGCACTCTGAATTTCCTAAGAAGTTCCCTAAAACAAATAGGCAAGCTCATCTGTCACATAAAAAAATATTGCTACATTCACATTGCAGTTACTGTAAAGTTTGAGCTCTTCTAGAATTCAGTGATATCTGGGATCCTATGGACATCCCTCCCATTAAATGGACTGTTCCTCCGTGGGGTATTCTTTCCCTAAGATAAACAACGGGAAGCTCAGAGCCCACATTTCCCAGGGACTGCTTCCTGCACCAGAGCAGCATTTGCAAAGCCTCTGTGACTCCCAGGCATACTGAGCATCAAGCTGGCTCATAACCAAATAAGAGCGCTGGAAAGAAAAATAGGGGGGAAAAAATAACAACAAAACGAAACAAAACAAAAATGACGACAGTGAACTCTCATGCTTTTGAAATAAATTTTCAGCAGGCACAAGGAGGTCTAGCATCACAGGTTCTTAGCAGGGACTGTTATTTTTGCTGCTCACTAGTTTACATCAGCAGGGACTCCTTGTCCCTTCACCAAAGGCCCTACTCAGTCCATTTATCTCATGCACTAAATACAGACACAGATGTGAATTAAACAGACTATAACTGTTTTATCACCTGAACGAGCTGCTAGGACTTGTAGGGAGCCCCTCAATTAAAGCTCTGCCTGGAGCACAGGAACTAAATACAGGGTCATCTTTCTTTCTTTTGTTCATTCTCTCATTCTTGCTTTCTGCCTGCTGAACTCAACCTCCTACAGAGTTCCTAAAGAGAATATCACAGGAGACTTGTTATCTTGCATTCCTCTGCCTCCTGTTCCTCTTCAATGGAAGACCATTTTCCTAATTTCAAGGAAAATCCCCGTAAAGGATAAGCCTGCCCAAAAGCCCTGCTAGCTGCTGGCTTTTTGACATGATTCTTGTCATATCTGCTATCACACTAGCCAGTACCAACAGAGAAATTTCCTTTAATCGTTACAGTTTATTAGCAGACAATATTTTAAAATTAAATTTCAAAGCATATTTTAAAGAATTTCTATCTCAATTAAGAAATTTTTTGAAAATTTAAAAAGTTTTCTGGAGCATAAAGGTAATATTCAAGCTTATTGTAAATGCTTTTTTTAATTATAATTTTGGCATACTTCTGTTAATAATGCAACTTTTCTCAGAGGCTACAATTCACTTCTGCACAGAAGCCTTTTTAAAGAATTAAATAGGGTTTATGAGATTCTTAATCCTGGTTCTGGCTCTTTGTGCAGGGTTGAATTTCATAGAAAGAGTGAATTTCAGACAAAGGAGACCAATGGAGTTAACATTTAATCTCTTTTTGAAGCACTGAGAGCTTTTTGGTCTCACGAGATTCTGAAATCATGTTCCATACACAAAAGTTTTCTTTGTCTGTTTTGTAAGGTGGATCACAATTACTAGGTGACTTGCATGTTTATGTTGTCTGCAGTGCCTTTGGCAGTGCTTGTTGTTCCTGCTATTTAAAAGTCCTAATAATGAATAAAATGTGTAGTCTACTTTGCCGCAGAAGTTATATTTTGCCTTCTGTGTCTGAAGTATATATAGCCTAATAGTAGGAGGTGTAACAGAGTTAATGTTCAATATAATTTTTATTTAAAGATCACCTGAATTGTGCTCCAATTCCATCCCAGTGTCACTCAATTTATTTCATTTTCACTGCCTTAAGATTTAAGAAATATTCTGATTTTTCACTGTCAGATAGAATATTAATTACATGCTTCTGTGTTGAAGTAAAAGATTGAGGAGTAAATAGGATTGATGTTTATCTGGTGTCAGTATGAGTGCGAGGCGTTCCTGTCCAGCCTTGGAAAGGCTCTGTTGGAACATTGTCGTGGTTTAGATAGCATCAGCAATAACGTGACCACACTGATGTGCTGTGTTTGGAGCAAGAGCAATTCAAGGCATAACTTAAAAGCAACCACACGAGTTATGTAATGAAGGTCAGGATTTATGTGTGATGTGAGGAGTGGCATTTTATGATACTTTTGGAGTTTTTCACCTTCATTTTGATATTTCTTTGACAATTTACTTTTAGCTTTTGGGTGGTTTATTTTCTCTTTGTCACAAACCATGTATAACTGTTTGGCAGCAGTTCTCTAGCTGGAGAAGAAACTTTTGCCAGGAAGAATGTGATGAATCATGATGTGTGACCAGAATAGCTGTACTATTGAAATGGCCAGGAGTAGATGTCATTCCACCCATAAAACCGTAATTAGCTTCTTTGGTGTATTTAACCTGGGACAGTGGAAACAAGGAATTCTTAGAATAAACTGTAGTGGCAAAAGCATTTATCTGCTTGTATAAACTGCATCTACACTAACCTCTTACTGTGATGACAATCCCAGAATATCAATACCTGCAAAGCCTTTCAAGTATAGACAGTCTTAATTTTTTAACTGGCTTGATTAGCATCTGTTAGAAGCCTTTTTTTTTTTTTTTTTTTTTTTTTTTTTCCTGCCATATATATAAGTAAAAAAAAATAAATATTTAAACTAAAATGATGCCAATGCTTGACTGGTTAACCTCAACTGCATGCAATACACAGAGAATACTCAAGTATATGCATATAAACTGACATCCCTCCAAATCGTTTCTTATTGTACTATTTTTTTTTTTTTATTTAAGTGAGGGGATGAAGGTGAAGTAATCCGGTTTGTAAGGAGGTAGAAATGTAGTTATTATTGCTGTAAAGGTTAGAAAGCTATTAAAGTCTATTAAATCTATTTCTATTATATAGAAATCTATTGCATTCATTTGCATAAAAACAAAATCAGAATAAAGTACTATCTCATTCCAGGGCTTATGCTTCTTCTTTAAGATTTACTATTTGACAAGTAATAAAGAACCCTTCGTCTAAGGTTATTATTGTTTGCATTCAGGTCTTTGACTTCAGAAAAGACAGATATCAAGACAGTTGCAGAGCAACTGAGGTTTGGTTCTTAACCTGCTGCTAACTGAGCCCGCAAGAAAAGTTCAACTGGCTTCAACCTCACAGAATTGTACCCTGACAGAACAACACAGAAAAATGAGATGCATGTAGAGATGCATTAGAGAGATAATAAAGAGCAGGGTATTCTTTAGTATTCTTTGAAGTACATATAATATGTTTTAAAATACATTTGGATTAGATGAAAAAGGTAACTGCTATGGAGAGTCCTTTCCTTTGTTAAAGGAATTAAACTAGAAAATGGATTTCCACTTTAGGTATTCAACTCCGAAATACTTATTTTTTACACATTACTGTGAAAGTTGCACATTTACCCTTGTTCAATATTCTGCTCCGCTCCCTTTGCATTGTCTTGTATTTGCTGACCTCTCATTCAAGACCTGGCCCATAATGCAGCAATGCTGAATTTAGGAGGCATATTTGTACTTTAAAATCTGTGAAACATAATTGGAGATATATGGACAAAAACTATATGTATTGTTTATCAAAGGTACCCCAAAGCAAACAAGACAGACACAAATGCTGGTATCTGGTAAAAGATTACTTTTTTAAGCACAAGTTCCTTGTAATTTTAATAACTGATTGTTTTCTTAAACAAACGTTCACCCAGTGTATAGGTACAGTCTTTGCAGAGGCACAGTGGAGTGGTGGGGTTTTTCTTCTCCCTCTGTATTAAAAGTTTCCCATCTGCTTTACTATAGGGAAGTTCCTGCCTGTTCCTCCCCTGCAAAAGTAGCCTTTGAGCTCACCCAAGCCCTGCCACATGATGCCAAGGTTGTGATGTGGGTTCTGGTAAGCCAACAGGAAAAAGCAAATGAAAAGGCATCACAGAAAGCTTCTGTCTTGAAACTCTGCCTTGGAATTAACAAAACCAGAGGACAGTAAGTTGAAGCCAGTACAGGATCTCTGAGATTATCCACTTCCTTTGAGATTATATAGATCAGGAACATCCTAATTTCTACCTCCTTTCCCCATGCTCCCAAATAGCAGCTGGTGCACAATACCAGCATTTTCAGCAAGGTGAGATAGGTCTGAAAAAATGCTGCTATGTAGGTGAGCAGTTAGGGGCTGAATTGCCTCTGAACACTGGGAATGACAAAATAAACTGGTCGTGTGAGAGGGCTCCAAGACCTGTGCTCCTTTGGGGTCTAGGGCTAGATTTTTATCTTAGATTTCTTAGGCTAATGTAGTTTCTAAGTTCCTTTCCCATGACTTTTCTATTTCTGATGTTATCTAAGCATATGTGGCATACTTTCCCATTTGGACATAGGGGTGTATAGTTCATTAACTGAGGGCTTATATTTTAGTTACATGACATGCCTGAGGATTGTCATGGCTACTTTAAGCACATGGGGATATTGTGGGAGGGAAAAGAAAGTTCTTAGCTCTTGGTGGGGAGTGTGGGGAGAGTTGCTTTTATTAGATGTGGACATTTGCCAGTAGCTTGACTATAAAACTAGTTCTGACTGTAATTTTTATTGTTTGAAAGGCTTTCATATTACCCCCCCTTTTCTTTTGTAATTGGGCTTACTAAAAAGGAATTATTGGAAATATATAAATATTGGAAATATAATTATTCCTTAAACATCTTTCTTCTGTCCAAAGATAAATCTTTCTTTCTGTCACACAAGTTGAAAAATAGCTACATAACCAAATGTGAAGTAA